CCGAGGAATCAAGGAGGCCTTTGGGATGGAGGTTGCAGGGGTGTATAAATAACAGTAGGGTACTATTGTACACCACAATATATCATTGTTCGGAGCTGGCTGTAGCCATGTTGACTTGATGACTGAACACACTTGTGTGCAAATAAGTTGGCCCTCTTCCTCAGAGTCACATTTTCATTACCCAGATATGCAGTTTTGTCAGAGAAGTACTGTTGCATCGAATTTAAAGCTGTGGCTTTCTGGGTTTAGAAATACAAGTTTTTTTTATTAAACTGGCAGATTTGCTCTATTAACAACTCACCTAAAGCAGGACTCTGTTTAGTAGCATTTTTTCTCTTTTAGTAAAACGTTCATGTGTTTAATTCAGTCCAGAGCAATTATTTCATACCTCAAATGAACATTGATACAAAAGTGGCCTCTGTGAAGTATATTAATTGAAACCCACCAAAATGTAAGGCAGAAAAGGCAAAAGTAATGCAGTCACCATGCCTCAGGACTTATGGAGTTATATTTTTTAAGTACTGGAAGTACAAACCCAGTGCTAACTCACCAAGTCAAATTCCTGCATGTAACTCCAACAAGGAATCTTAATAAAATAAAAACACCTATCTGTGCAATTGTTTTATCAGACTCTTATATGGACATTTTTTTTCCTTAAAAGGCACCTACTTATACTAGTACTATAGTATAACAATTAGATCTCACATTTATATTTTTGCACTTTAGTTATATTACAGATGGTTAACTATTCAAAAACTACACATTTAAACACAAACATGTACTGTACACACGCAAAAACAAAAAGCACCTGTTAATGAATTCAGCTTTAATTAAAAAAATGAAATCCCAGTTCTTGCTACAAAACAGTAAGAAACATAAGAATTGCGCTTCATTAAGTGTAAGGCTGAATGTCTGGGGTATGAAAACTTGCGGTTAATCTTTCTCATTTAAGGATGATGGAAAAAAAAACAGGAAGAGATGGAGCTGCTGAAATTACTACGTCATACTTTGACTTTTTTCCTGCCCGTATCCCTTGCTTCAAACTTCAGTCTTAAACTTTACATTTTTTACAAAAGTAGCAGGATGCATTTCTTACATTATGGCTATCTTATTGCACGTGTGTGTTCTGACCTATGCTCTGTATTGCTTCTGCTCAGATTACTAGTCTGTATATCCTCTGATTACCCCTAAATATCACCACAACATTTAATTAGTGATAGTTTCATGGGGGGGGCAAATAAAGGTAGAATGATTGCCAATTGGCGAAGCAAAATGTAATCAAGCCAGTGTGATACAGTGTGCAATGTATAATCTGTGCCTCACATTCTGCTTCAAGTAACTGATTCATCAAGTTGATTAAATTAATAAAGACAGCCTGGAAACTCCATCTGGAAACAGTGAATGACTCAACAGGATACTTATTAAATAAATAACCATAGGAAACCTGTTTATGTACACTGCTTATTTTTGGTGTCTTAATTCATAGTACTTTTTTAGTATTGCGCAGTTCCCTAAAAGCAACATTGATTATCTGATATTTCTTCCCCTATTCAATATCTTCATTAGATGGAAACAAGGTAATGTTTTTGGATGCAGCTTTATTTTTACCATAGTATCATTTACATCATTGTTTAATTTTTGTTTTTTGTCAGGTGCTCTTATTATCTCCTACCTTCTAAAGACATGCTGGCCAGGCTAGTTGTTCCTGTGTGTGGGTGAATACCTACAATGTAGTGGCATCCTGTCCAAGGTTTGTCCACCTTGCACCCTATACTTCCTGGATAACCCATGGGTTGCACAGGCTTTCGGATGATGGATGCATGAATTAAACTAATTTTTTATGACCTGCTTCTTAAAAAACTGACATTTGAATTGAGTGTTATTATCCTGTTGTTTGAGCTCTGTTTTGTCAGTACACCCAGACTCTGACAAAATCAAAACCTTGATCCAATAGCAAATTACAAGTACGAGATTTTATGGTAGGATCCTGCTGGATGAAAGCAAGCAAGCCTGACAAAAAGCCAGTCTCTAGAACACAGTTTGCACGATGGCTAGGATGACAATGTGATTTTGTATCATCCTAGTTTGTTTCTGTCTAAATCTGAAACCTGTATGACGAAAAATGCTATTCAAAGCTCTTTGACATTTATTCACTGATAATGGAAAGAAACACAAGTTATTGTCCATTTTTACCAGAGAAAATAAGGAAAACCTTAATTTTATGGGTACTTTTATGTTACTTCATTTTTGACCTATTTACATTGCTTAGCTGCACAAGGCCTATGCAGTATGTACTGTAAAACAGTGACCCTTCAAACTCAAGATAATGGTATGTTAAATAGAAGATTACAGAGTGTTATACAAAACAATGACACAGTACGTACCAATGTATAGGCCTTCAGATTTCAGTTACATCTTTACGTGTCAATCTGGCCACATTTTAAATCACTTCAATAATAATTTTTGTAAATCAAAGTTTCAACTGCAGCTCTTTTATACTGATATGCACATTCTTACAAGTGACTTCAGACGCTGTCATAGTCCCCGTGCGAAATAATAATAACAAAGTAAAAATGTCTAAGAATATAATAAGAGAACAAAGAAGCACACACTTAACAGAATATGCAGGAAATGACCGAACAGCATCAGAACAGAGATACATCTATGTCGCACTTTGGCAGACAGTAGTGGTAACTATAGTTCAACAACAAGTCATCTTGAGTGCAAGACTGGTCTAAATGAATGTGAGCAAGACACTTCACAATATACATTTCACTACAGCCTGCCCTGGACTGTCACACAAACCTGAAGATACATGTTGTGTTGCTGCTGAGCACATTACACACTTAAAGGTTTACAGTACTGCAAACATGCCAAAACCTCTCCGTCTAAACTATGACTGAATAGTGCAACATGCTGACATACGATTGTTGGAAGAGTTCCATCACCACTCTTAGAAACATTCTACTGTGCTCGGGAGAAAAAGCTTCAATAATTAAGAAAACTGAAAATGCACAAGGACACATCTTAATGGCAGAGAGTAAATACATGTGCCAGGCGGTTTACCTGATACATCGCGTAATTTTACTCAAGAAGGCTCAATACACAAATACAGACACAATCATAAAACGTTTGTCAATTAGCTTATACCTGCTTTTGCCAAATCAGAAATTACCAAATTGAAGGTGTGTTACAGTGTTACAAAATTCACCTTCACCTTATCTTTTTATGAGCAGAGCGGAGGCACTGTGGTAAGGATCTACGCCTGTGGCTGGAAGGTTGCCAGTTCAAATCCCGCAGTTGGCAGAGGAATCACACTCCGTTGGGCCCCTGAGCAAGGCCCTTAACCCCAACTGCTCCGGGGCGCCATATAAATGGCCGACCCTGTGCTCTGACCCCAAAATACTCTCTCCCCATCTGTGTACCCGTGTGTCTTATTGAGAGCAAGCTGGGGTATGCAAAAAAACAAATTCCTAATGCAAGAAATTGTATATGGCTAGGAAAGTGATCTTATCGTATCTTATTATGACCAATCCATTTGGTCATGACAATCCAAGACTAGCTTGAAAGGCAAAGACAATGAACAGAAAAAAATAAGAAGGCTTTATATTCTTAGACTAGATAAAAATGTTCATAACTGTTGAAATTCCCTGATCGAGAACAGAAATTAAGATATACTGCATGTAAAGATGACAGAGAAGGTAAGGCAGAACTAAACAAAAGATTACAAAAGGTGGATTTCTTCACTTTATCTTTTTAGTTCATGCATAGAAGCCACTGTATAATAGTCTATAGATTTAGCAGATGTTTACTAACCCTTTTATCTTTAAAAATAGCAATATTTTAAACAGCATGACTTTATGGTCATTACTCCACCCATCCCACACTACCAAAAGACAAATCCTTGTTCTTATAAAGGATAATTAAAATACTGACGGTTCAACTGCTATTTCTGTAGTACTGCATATAACTGGATAAATGTCATTTCTAAGTGCGTGGAGTCCTGCAGAAATGCATTATAATCCACTTGGTCACACCCAAGGATGAGGACAAGGAAAGGAAAAGCATCAATGTTATTACATACATATATGTAAAGAAGGGAGGGTTCGTAACTCACAATATGTGGTCTTGGTGCACTTACTGTAAACAGGCAAATCTCACTCAATTCCCCACACTTCTTATTCTGAGAATAAGCTATAGTGGACGTAACAGAACTTCTGAACAGGGTCAGTATAATTTTATTAATATTAAGAAAGAGATTCATCTAAAACAAAATGATCGTATATTTCTGCACCACGAGCAGAAGTCGCCAAAGTCTCCAGAAGGCTTCTGAATGTTTAAGAGCGATATGTCACACACGCAGCGACACTTAGTGAATCATCATCAAAAAGCCTTTTTAGAAGGATGACCGCTTTAACGCGATGGCTTTGTGATTGTACAGAAAAGATGTGCCTAGCTTAAAGAAAACCTCCCAATACAGGGTTCCTCATACCTTTGATTGCCCATCTGACTTAAAACCATAAGAGAGAAGCAAGACCCTATCAAATCCAATGACTGTTGAAAAACTTTACCAGAGTTACACAGCCCACTGCCTAGGAAAGTATGAATTACAATTATTACTATTATAGTTGTTATCAATATCCAAAAAGCTTGTTTGTTTGTTTACTATATGTTCACCCGTTTCATGCATGGCCACACACGGATTTTATTTTTCGACCTACTGTATATGAACTATGTGGATGACCACAGAAATTTACCGTGAAGGTAAAAGTTGAGCAGACTTCCAATCAATTGTAACATCACAGAAATTTACCGATTTATATCTACTTGCCAGGTCACTACTGTAAAACACTTGGCACGAATAAGGCAAGTCCATAATCTTTTCCAGTGGGTTGTGGCCCTTCATAATCAATTACTAGTATCATGTTGAAAACGTTCGATTAACTTCAGTCTCGCTCCCTTTGCCCCGAAACTTGTACAGTAGCTGAAGTTTTACTTACCTCCCTCTTGTCTCTATCGTCAGCGAAAACTGTAATGTTGTCCCCCAACGTTTTAAAAAAAGGCATATGTATTACAGTTTGCAATTCCCCGGTACTTCGGACCATGAAAGAGCAATCAGTAGGCATGCACTAATATGCATCCGAGCGCTCTGAGGTTTTGTTGAAGTATCTCCTTTGCAGATCAGGAACACGAACGCAGACCTTAAAGGGGAGGACGTGTGAAGAAGAAAAAGTTAGCCGACTATTCTTCACAGAGTACTATAAAGTACTGTCTTGCACTCCACTGTTTTTAGATACACGTTAATCTTCCTTAGTAAGCAGATACTTAATTAACATTTAGTATAGATTTGTATTATTTCATTAAGGAACTTTGTTTTTAAAGTCTGACATTAGTTTGCCAATTTTACACAGATGTGTGATCACTAGAAGAGCGAAAAGGATCTTGCACTCCAGAACACAACTGCGATGTAGACGTCTGCCAAACACTACACGACAGACAGCACGGTCAATTTAATACCATATAATAATTGTACACATTGAGTTTACGTCACTGAACACTAAATAAGCAATTGTGCAACGTATTTACTGGTAGGTAGTTATTTTGAAATGCACCAGAAAGGAAGTTAGGTAAAAGGGAGACAGTTGACATAAGACGACGGGTTAATTTTAATCGTTAAGTGTACTGTAAATACAGACCCAGTCAGTGAAGTAGCTCAAGGAACAGGTCCAAATAGTCAGACATCTGCGCGTTAGATGAACGAAGGTATACATTCGCATTCAACAGAAAAAAAGAAATGTTAACATTTTACTGTTGCGCTGTTTATTGTTTATTTTTTTGGTGTGGGGGTTATAAATTTACAGAACGTCTTGTACAGTTTAGCACGTTACTGTTTACTTCGGCGACGATAAACTTCCTCTTGGATGTGACATTTTAAAAGCAACATTATTTCCTCGCCTGCCGTATTGAGACGTTGATGACAACAATCACATTTATAAACCGCCTCTACGGTAAACATTATTGATTTTTGGTGTATTGCCATTTAATTCTTACAAAAAAAGATGTTCGCAATTTATTAAAATTCCTTATCAAAATTAATTTATATTAATATCACTAAAATATAAGTGATACAATATATATATATTTTCTGGTATCGTTAAGAAACCTCTGTAGTTTCTTGAGAACTGTAAGGTGTCCTTTAGCTTTTCATAGTTACCTCCTACATTACCTCCAACACGCGTAAACATTTTAAGAGTTTTTGTATAGAAGTGAAATACCAGCTGTGAATAATTTTTGAAGAAGTATTTATTATTACATGTTCTTTTAGTAGCATACTGCTCATATATAATTAACTGATGTTTGGTGTTTTGTAGCACAGCAGTTACATCCAGTGCAATTTTCTTCCACTAAACACCTTTCAGAGCCCGTCAAAATGATACCCTTATCATTTAGAGTTTAACTCTCAGTCTGGAATGTTTAGACAAATATAAGAATACTTTTGTCACATTCATCAGTAGACAACTGGAAATCAAATTCAAAATCAATTAAAAAATCAACTGAAACCTTTATTTCGAATGTGTGAGCTGTCCTTCATCTAAACTGTTTTCCCTTTTGGCCACCTAGTCACACCAGGAGGATGTTTTTAAGGCTTCAGGCTCACGTCTGCCATCTGTCACAAACAGATTTTAAAGATTTTATGGCTTTCCAGCAGTCATGTCTTACCATTCAAAAGAATGAAAGGGTCAAACAGTGTTGCCCAACCTGAGAATATGCAGGAAGACAAAGCTTCAATGCGTACACTTCCTGTCCATATTCCTTGACTTCCACACCTACGGAAAAGGAAAAGATTCCTTGTGGATTCATGCACACACATAACCCTGGGTTATATAAATATTTTCTCCACGTTACAATGGTACAGTGCTGTGGTAATTTACATCTTCTATGGAGTATTGCATTTCTAATTTGTGGTTATTGTTTAAAGCACACACCAATTAATTTTAATATGTACAGATTAAAACACAGCACACAGTTACCTTCATTTCTTATTATCTATACTGTCTAAATTATATTTCAACCAAATGAAATGGTGTACAGTACCTCATCTTATTTCATTGTTCCACTATTAGAGTTATTTTATTGTTTGCCAGTGAATATTCCAGAATGGAAATAACACATTATACTGGAGTGCTTAAAACAGGCATTTCAGTTCGAGTTGGAGGGCTCTCCTGTGAGAAATCTGAGGATCTGTTTCCTTTCCTTCCATGAAACAATCTGACTCTGATACAGACAGGAAGTGTGCCAAAAGGGAAACAGGAAGTGCCTGAGACAATAGAGATTTTAAGGAGTGGTCCAGCTGTTTATTTGCGTATTAAGTGAAGCAAAAGAGATACACAGAGAGACCCAAGTGAACAGATATTTTCCAGGCCATTAGAAAAAAAATTCAAGGTTTTAATGTAAAAAATAAAGCATTATTTTCTCATATTTTGACCCCATTTTAAGTGTCTCGCACCGAAATCATTTGCTGAGATAAGCAGAAAAGCTTGTCTAGCTCTAAAGATAATGGCCCATTGTAGCTGCTGTTTAGATACAGTTATTCACATTCAGAATATAGATATTTTTAAAGAAGTTTGGTGACAAATACTACACTTAATACTTTTTTAACTGCTTTTTCTTACTGTCTTATAATCTTATATGCCTTCAATATGAAAGTGGCTTTTATTACTGTTTAAGTAACATACCTGTATCATGTATTTTTTCATTATTCCAATCTAGAATTATAAACCACATTTTTTCAGCATTAATTGTGATTATAACTTAAAATGGCTTAATTTGTACTGCACAGTTAATTTTAGGTACCTTGTGAACTCTGAGATATCCCAAAAATGGTTTTGCATTTGGATAGAGTATTATTAGTTCTTCATTGTTTTGACGAACATGTTCGATGACAAAAAAACAACAACAAACGACACAGAACGTCAGGATATTAAAGGAGGCCAATGCCATCTCATAGTCACAACTTATTCCAAGCCTTATTCCTTTGTCCTGTGTAACTCGGCATGACTAAGAAACATTTGTTTGAAGAAGAAAAGAACCTTTTGGTATCCTGCTTTCAGAAGTCTAAAGGAAAAAGAGAAAAAAGCTGTCAAATAACAACTTAATAATGTAACCAGCAAGCTGTCGTAAATCTCATTCATTCAAACACAGAGTAATGTGATTAAAAACTAAAAGAAAAAATAAACAATACAGAGAACTGAAAGAGATTTGTGGTAGCACATAAACTTTTTTTTTCCAAATATATGAAAAAAAAATATTCTAGTCCTTCTGTTATAGATTTATATGAGTAGGGTTTTCTTAGTCATTAGTCTTTCACAGAATCTGCAGTCTTGGTGTTTACATTGTTTGCATTGTTTACACATTCCAACACTGTTAAAAGTGAAAATTACACAGTTCTTGTGTAGCAAAGGCACAAAGATGCCTAAACTATAAATAAAAGCATGGTTATTAAGTGAGAAGCAAGAAGCTTAATTCTTTAATGTATTTAGATACATCTGCATTATTCATTAAACTGTTTTTTGCAGGATTTTAATATTTCATATGATTATCTGTTAAGCAAACATAAGCCTGTTGCTGCTTTGTGCAAACACTTTGTGCTTAATATACAAGAATATCATTTATAAAACAACAAAGCATCCTTCAGACTCAAATAAAATGACAAAAGCTCTCAGAAACTAGTGATTTATTTGAAAATAAAAAGAAAGGAAACACCAGAGAAACCCTTTCATCAGTTAGACTCACGGCACATTGCAGAGTCAAGTGTAGAACATACAATATGTTCAGGCAAGTCAAATGCAGTAAAGCACTACTTAAAACTAAACAGTTGAGTAAACCAAATTTGAACACTGCCAACTTTTCAGATCCTTTCAGATCACAAATCACACTAATTGTGCAGATGAAATCTTCTGGCAGCTGAGTCATTTTCTACAGTTACCCGCTGTGGTCTGAACACTGTTTACTAATATCCTAGCACCTACTTTACAGTTTAACACTTGGTAGGCAAGTACTTCACAAAATATACAGTGAAACAGCCAAAGAACAACGGCAAACCATATTTACAACATGAAGTGACGGAATCGCACAACACCTGACCTCTTAAATAGTTACAGAATAATGCCTACTTTTAATCCAAACCTACTTTGAATTAGCTGAATGAGTGACTAAGAGCCATTTTAATTATGTATTATCTTGTGAGGGTTTAAAATAACATTTCTCTCCAAAGTCTAATTGAGGAATAAAATACAGTTTTATTATATTTTTAAAACCAGTTTCACATTCATTTTCTTTCCTAGAATTCTAATGAAAATGTGCATCTAAGAAAATGTAAAAGGTAAAAAATACAGTATATTAACAAGGATTCCTACATAATCCTGAAAATTAAGACAACATGATCTGTTGATAAGATCCTTTTCAGTGTCATTGTAATACAGTATATGTCTCTGGTAATGTAGTTTAACAGCTGAGTGAGAAAATCAGATAACCTCTGCATATCCAATGTGCAATTGCAAACATCTATTAGCTGTCCTGTTAATAAATTTCTTTTCAAAACATACTCAGGGTTTTGTTCTTCTGATTTGTGTCCTGCCAGCAGGACATGGTTATGGTACTGATATATTTTTTAAATATCTTTTATTCCCGGACAGGATTAGCAGAAGGTGCTTAGGGTGAGAATGTGCATTTAAGCTTACTGGCATTCATTTTTTAATTTTATTTTGTATATTGAGTGATTTCATTTTTCAAATTAAGAATCCAATCCATTTAGAGAAGCTAGATGTTGTCATCTTAAAGGCTTACTTAGAATGATCTCTTGCTTAGGTTTTCCATATTGTAGCATCCTTCTTATTTGTGTGAAAGCTTTAAACCCCATATTTTTCCCACTCTTAACTATAGCAGGAGAACAGTGTAGGGGTTCATTCCTGTATTATTAATAAGCCTTGCCGCTACAACAGTTTTCAGCAAAGAGTTAAGCATCAAAGCACTGGTATTTTAAAATGACTCTTGAGTCATTGATCAGATAAATGATTCAGAACAAAGAAAACATTCTGCTTTCCCACTAAAATTCACATGCACTAAATAGAAATTGGATTTTAAATCTATACTTCCTACTACTCCTTTTGTAATATACACCATATATGTATTTAATTCTTAAAAATCTAAATGCTCTATACAGCCATTTTAAACGATTTGGAGAAGTGTTTTGTAACCTACTCATAGCCTAGGATTCCTTACTTAAAATTTCAAGCATTGCTCCAAGGCCAGTTAGTTCATTCATCAATCATGTTAGAATTTACGCATGGCAGCATCAAAATCCAGGTTTAAAAGAAGAAAAAAAGCTGTGAAAGACTATTTGTATCTGATATATTTGTTAACAAAAGTTAAAAGTTGTCAAAAACGACACGAACGTGGATACCAATGTCAATGAGAACCAGTACTTGTGTAATACTGTTCAGGTGACTGGATGGGCTATTGAAAGTAAGAATTCTGCAATGGGCATTTACTGAAGATTCACATTAAAAATAAGTTAATTTTATTGCAGCACCAATATATTATATCTTACAGAATCCCTAACGAATGTGTAAACCTAATACTACAAAATGGGATTGCCTTATTTGCTACCTTTCAAGTTTAGGGTTTCTTTATCTACATTCATTGATAGTTATTGCATGTATTCTGAAATACAATAACAGTGAAATACACATAGTGCTGGTAGCAAAATTCCAACAAACATCTTGCTACTTAATTGGTGTGCCGCTCACTGTTTGTATGGTACACACAATTCTTAGTAAAATACCTAAAAATAATATTCTTGCTGTCATTATAGATTAAAATCTTAAAATATCTTAGTGATAAATCTAGGTACATTTTTGTGATTGAAAATGCTAATTTTTTTTCCATTTTCTATTTCATATACTCTTTGGTGATTTTGAACCTTTTATACTCTGTGCCTCAGATGTGTGTAGCATGTTTTATTCAGGTAAATTGGTCACAGTAAAATAGCATGGAACAGGAACTGGTTATCTTAACAACAGGCAAATAGTAGTGTTCCAAACCATGTACATCTACCATATCTCTCTTCTTGACCATGCTAATAATAATGGTGGTGGTAATAATTTCACCTTCTTCATCTCTTTTTGACAATTATTCTTCCGCTTAGTTGAAACACCTTAGTCTGTTTAGCATAATGCATACTTCTTCTTTATATATCTCATATCACATTAACCCACATTCCAGGATTCAGCAGTTATCTAACAAGTGATTAACTACCCAACGCCCCCCAAAATTATTTAGAAACATCAATCAACAACAACTATTTAAACTTTAATTTTCAGGTACGACTAGTTTCTAAACTCAATTAATATACTGTCTCAAGTATATTTCAAACCTCTGATTTTTTTGTCTTTTATGGTGTTAGTGGTTTTTAATTTGATATAAGGAGTGCTCATAACTCAGGTCTGTCTACTCAATCAAATATGTCATGAAAACTGTGCACCATGGAACAATGAAACATAGAAGGCAAATTAAATATTACTAAGGCAACAGTGCATTTCCACTTTTTGATATGCTCCCCATGGTTTCATCTACTGTATATAGTGCCCTTCAAAAGTATTGGGACAGTGAAGTCTAAATTGTACTTTTTACTATAAACTCTAACAATTAGCATTTCTCATGAAAATAAAGCAATGAATATTAAGTAAAGCCCTTAAGTAATTTATTTTTAATAAACTCAGTTCACTTCTACCCTCTTGGGTCAATTTAATAAAGCGATTTTTTTACTTTGAAGGAGCAAAACTATTGGGACAGTTGACTGATTTCTCTTAATGGCTAAAATGGCTGTGAACACATCTAATGAGAATTACTACTTACTGTTACATTACAAATTTTACTCAGAAGACCTGAAGCAATTCAGTTGTTGTTCCAACTCCTGTCCCATGCTAAAGTGACCAAATACTTTAGTGGACGACAGTTTCAGGATGTCTGTCTTCACCTGCACAGGTTAACAGTGAAGTCACTTCATGCATTCTGTTGCTTTAACCTTCTAATATGGGACATATATTAATAACATCAAGGCATGGAATATGTCAACAGTTAAACTCTTCAGCCCACTGATACTAAGTGCCTCATACTGAATGTAAGCATTTTATTTGTTGATTTGTTTATGTGTTGATTCACATTCACAAATCTACCAGCAGGGGGTGATACTCCATTCATCACTACGCTCTAGGAGAAAAAAAACAAATCTTGTGTCATTAGATTCAGGAAGGTTATAAGCAAGGTAATGCATTAAGGAACACTACTGTTACTCTGTACCTGGACATACATATATGTTTCATATAAAGCCACCCTTTTAGGTCATGTGAAAAAAGTCACAAGTCCCTAGCACAGAGTCAATTACAATACATGATACACACAGGCATTCATATAGATATTGACAGTCAACTAATGATGTTCTTCCACTGTCTTATTGCCTGGGTGATTGGGTTCAATCAGCACAGCCTCCAGCGCCTCTAGGACTCTTTGGAGAAGCCTTCGTCATCATCGCTAATGTGGGTTTTCTCCTCGCTCAGCCCACTCTCGTCGATGTTTTCCAGGGAGTCTGCACGCTGCAGAGACAGCTCTGACAGGCTGATGCAGGGAAGAGTATTCTGCTCCGGGTACATCCAGGGTTTCAGGTTGGGGTTGTGCTTCCGTTTCCACTCAGGGTACTTCTGGCATGCCTTGTAGATCTTCTTCATCGCCTGCCAACAACAACAACACAGCACACCCCTCAGACTGATCGCTTAGTGTGGCTTACACGACGTCACACCACAGTTCATCTTCACTTTCAATACAGGGTGTCATGGTGGCCTGGAGCCTATCCCAGGATGCATAGGGTGCAAGGCAGGATCAGGGGCATAGCCATGGCTGGGCCTGGGTGGCCCACCCTGATCAATCCTAGGCCTACCCAGTCAGTCCAAAGTAATTTAAGATTTTTTTTCCTTGTTTGCGTCACATGATTTGCTTTTTAATGTTACATGTTTGATTTTTTCATTGTATGCAATTTGTTATTGGTTTGCTGTATCTTTTGTGACAATAAGAAAATTTTGTAAATACAGTGGGGTGGGGCCTAATTGGCTATCATTGTCATCAGACGCTCTTAGAGCTATCTAGCACTCGGTTTTTGGTTTATTAGCCAACATGGCAAAACAAATGCATATATCTATGTTTTTCAAAAAGCCGCGTGTAGATGACCAGACCAGTCCCCAAACACATAAGATCATGAGATGCTACAGGCATCTTGGGCTTTAAGTAGTAAAGTCTGGCTTCCCGAATACAAGTGTTTCTGGTATGTAAGGGACAGTGCACGTGTCTGCTTGTAGCAGCTCGATACGTGCTCAGCCTTTAGGAGTTGAGCATGAAGAGGTTCTAAAATTTCTCCTGTGAACAAATTACATATTTTGGAATGCATGAATAACATTGAGATAGGAATGAGTAGAAAGGTTAATTCCATTCTGAATAGCAGAATGAAGAAACACAATGTTTCTGCTGTTGAACCTTCTTCAGATGTTTTCTTCAGATTTTATACTTTACGTCTGTCTTTGTAGCCAACATACGCTGACAGAGCTCCTTACTCAAATCTCATGTTATTGAATATTTTGATCAGAATGTAACCAAGATTGTTAAGTGACACGTTTGGTTTTTTCTCTATAACATTCTGTCTAACATTCTTCTCTCTAAACTAAAAACTAAACTAAAAAATATTTACACAGTTATTAAAATAATAGAAAATGCCATGCTTAATAGAAAATTAAGAATGCTCTTAATGTACTAATATGGTAACATTTGACTCTATCAGTTACTTTTGCATAGTATGTTAGTAATACTGTTAATTTTATATGACACTAAAGATTATATTTTAGTACTGGATTTTTGTATTATTTAAACTTTGAACTTACGAATAATTTATCTGTGCCTTCCACGTAGGCATTCAATTTGTTTTTGTGAAACTAATTAAATAGGTTAACAACCAGGATTTTAGCGCACGTTGACACTAGGTGGCAGCATAACTCAGTGGTCGGTGTCATAAATGTATTACAAAGTCGGGCAATATGACTGTGTAAGAGGATCAGGAATAAGTGCTCTGAAAGCCCAGACTTGCTCTGCCATCAGATTGTAACTCAAACGTGTTCAGCTGTGAGTTTATAAATGGGAAAACAGACAGTTCAGGAATGTTGGTCTCTATGTAGAACTTCACCATGTATTCCCAGTAAGAGTTACAGCAATCCATAACCTATTCCAGGAACAAAGGGTGGAAGGTGGGACTATTCCAGGAACTTCCAGGGAGGATGACACACACAAACACTAAGGGACAAAAAGGAGATGCCAACCTAGCCTGTACCTTGTCATTGGAAAGTTTTGGCAAAAAAGAAATAAACTCTGGAATACTTGGAAGAACCACACAGAAGAAACTTTTGGAATGGAACTCAGTAACCAAGAACACTAGACACCAAACCACTATGCCTCCCTAGTTCAAGGTCAAGGGGACACTACTGTACTTATAATTATATTATAAATATTTATAAATTATACATATAAATTATAATTATAAATACTTTGGAAAACCAAAAATGTTCATATTTCCATTAGTAATGGTTAGTATGCACTAATTATTTCAATAAATGAGTACCACATATATCCCTACCTGTACAGCCCTTTAAAAATGCAAAAACTAAAATAAGTATCAAATTATTAAGGCAACTAAAACGGTAAAGCTTAGGCTGTGACTGGGAGCATCACTATAGCAATGACTGTCTGTTTGACTTGACTTGTATTGTCATAGGAGTCACAATATTGAAGCACCAGAAATATAGAACAGGAAGGAAAACTGTCACGATTGGCATCCCTCCACTTAAAGGGCGCTCCAACCCTTTTGTTTTTTAGTTAATTATTTGCACCTGCCTCTTGTTTTGTCTCATTATTTAAGCCTGGTGCTCTCGCTATTGCTGGCTCAGCATTGGAAGATGGACGCCCAGAAGCCTGCCTGCCAGCGGGTCCAGGAGAGACCTGATGGGATAGGCTTCACCACGGCATCCTGGCTGTCTGAGTCCGGGTCTCGGAGTGCCTGGTCTCGTTACCTTCGTTTTGTTCCCTGTCCCTGTTCCGAGTCCCGTTCCGGATTTAAACTGTGTTTGTTTCGTCTTGGATCCCCCTGTTTTGGACTTTGGACTGTGCCCCAGATTCCCCCTTTTGGACTGCCTGAACTCGTTTGCCATCGCCAAGGCCACCCGAGCACCGGCTCACCGCTGTCACGCCCTCCCTGTCTGTCAACCTGTCCTGATCCTCTATGTCTCCTCCCCCGATCTCCTTCTCCACTTAATTCCGGATTATACCATCTGCACCAGCTCCTGTTACAAAACTAAATAAAACGTTTTATTGCACTCTAAATCAGCAAAAGCTGTGGTTTTATAATACTGTGGTAATAAAGGCAACATCCATAAACCAAAGTAAAAAAAATACACTTGATTACCTGTCTGGGTGTAACAGATATACGAGAACGAGATATTAATTGTCTCAACTTTATAGCTTTCTTTTTGGGACTACAAACAGAGAACAAGAAACGGAGTCCACAAAATTCCATAAACCCACACATATGAGTTGTGTGACACGAGGCTTAAAAAATGTCATAATCATTACCTTTGGTGCTACAAACTGAGAGACTTTATTTACCACCCACTTGGGCAAAGAACCTGCAATTAAAAAAAACAGTATTTAGACATTTAGAGATTTTCATATTTTCAAACTGTTGTCTTCTGAAAATACTGTGGGACATATCTTAGAAACCAGGGCTACAGCTTGGTATTTTAAATCTCATATACACTACTGACCTAAAAAGTACTTAACTGATATTGTTTCTTTAAGCTCTTGAAGATTGAAAACAACTTGTAAAACCAACATCATTGCAGCTGAGAATGGAACTTCGAAGTAGAAAGTGTGCTTCTTCACATAATTATGCATTGATCTATAGACACAACAACCATTTGTGCAAGAGCTGAATGTGTTTCTGTTATTTAAAAAAATGGGGTCATTACCCATTGATTAATTGTGGCCAATTTTTGGTTGTGCATTTATCCTCTAAATCTTAGATGTCTAATAAAGGCTTTAATAATTCAAGCACTGATTTCTATATAAAAGTGTAGATGTTTGAACTTTTTTAAAACGTAAAACCACTTTGGGAGAGATGTCTTCAGAAATACAATACACATCATTTTTGCCTATTGTGGCAATGACATTGATGTGCAGATTTAGTGCAGCCTTTCATGGTCGACACAATTCTCAAGGGCAATGTAACATACACTATTACAGGATTTAAAGGACCGAGACTGTAAAACATACTTATATCTGAATGTGCTTTCAAGTAAAAATACTACAGCTGCAAGTTTCAAACCATTTATTTAATCAAACCATGAAACATCAGGATATAATGGCTATTATCACATCACGATCAGCATTTAAGGAATACAGTAAAGCACTTGAGACAATATGGTGCATGCAATGCACTGAAAAAGTCACATATCTAGCTACTCAATCAACGATTTCATGAATTGAATTTAATGGACTGTCTTGCCAAGGGCAAATTATAGGTCCAAGCCATCACTTACTATTCAGATACATTTTGAACCATAACCATGATTTTCTCACCTTTTGGATCTACTTGGGTTAGATAGTAGAGAGTGCAGCAGTTCGCACCGTTAGACTGGATCAGGTACCCGGTTTGTAAAGACACAGCTCTGACATAGTCTTTCTTCGGGGGATATTGCTGAGATTTAAAAAAAAATTGAGTAAAGGAAATAACATGAACTTTGAAAATACAAATCATTCCAGTTCCTAGCTTTCAAATCCCGTTCTGTTTAAGATACTGAGACAGAGAGATGAAGTATGATATTTGAGGAATATGATGTATGATGTTATAAATGTGATGTGAATGGCACTTATAGCTACTTTTCATGAAACCTTAAAAAATATTGGCTTCATCTATGCCCTAAAAGCTTAATAGCTTAAAGAGTCATTGGATTTCACATTTATTTTAAAAAATATTTTATTTAAAAATATAATCCTAGGTTGCATATCTCCTTGAAGGATGGAAGGCACTTTTGTGTCAGTTCACATCTGACCCTAACTATTTAATTCAGCTAAGGTGTAAGAAGTCATATTGTGTATTTTCAGTCTGAGTTATTTCTTATTTGAAAAGTATCTATAAAAATGTGAGACTGTGGGGGAGAATGGTGATTAAGACTGACTCGGCTTGTCATACATCCTCACTAAATTAACAGCTTCCATACACGAAGATCATAATTTCCAAGTCATTATGACTGTATGGACTGGACTTAGCATTATAGCTTTAAATTCACTAATTTTGAAACACAGTTAAAATTCTCTGCTGTGTAAGAAAGTCTCTGCTTTCTTTAAAAGATTACAAATTCAAAGCCACTCATTTGTTTAATTGTGCCTAATGTGGTGTTATTGAAACCCTCCACAAAGTCTAACAATTAACACATTTTATCTTTCATTTGAGTTTAAACAGACACTTCCATCAATTAACCAACAGGCATTGCTTTCCACACTTTAATATATACAGTGAAGAAGTCTATCCTAAAATGAAGCATCCTTCATGACTGCCTGTTTGTAAGGCGATATTCAATGCAGATAAAGAATGCCAGATAGGTACAGTACTATCATTTTACAGGATCCTCTATGCTTTTCTGTAGCATGGAAAGTCAAGACCCTGTGGTCCATTTAATGCCAGATAAGGAAAAGCATCTCTTCACCGGATGAAACTACCTGTTCTTCTTACATTGCACATGACTTCAGCCCGCAAAGTGGTTTATTTATACAGTATGCTATACATCTGTTAGGATTTTAACACACAACATTTAATGGTTTTACAACCCATAACTATTTCATGTATAATTATCTATTAAGTCAACTTACTGGGTGTTTAACAGAGTAGTTAATTATCAAGTAGTCCTTGCCCAGAGGAAGCCAGGATCGCAGAGTGATGAAATCTCTGTTCTTTAGTGGGCTGGGACACTTCCCTGTAATAACACATATATTGTGAATTGCAGTGCATTTCACATCACTGCCTCCCATCATGTGGTACCATATGAATCTTAAGAAATACAACACTGTTTTCTGGGCTTGAAAGGAAAGTATTATGAGAAAAGAGACATGAATACAAAAATGTGGTGTCTCAAAATTGCCCAGAAGATGAGAAAGCAATGAAAATGTACTTCTGGTTGGAATGGTGCAAAATTGAATCTTTATATTCATGATACATATCGTTTAAGCATGCTTTACACGATTCAGTCTTTACTCCTTGATTTTTACTGATGGTACAATTCCACGATTCAGAAAACAATCATTATAACTCCATTCCCACTAATTATCTTCCATCACAGAAGTCTGCAAAAAGTACATTGATTGTAAAATAAGGCAGCAGTTAACGTTAAGAAGACACAGATCTTTTGGGGTTTGAATCTTTCATAATCTCAGTTTAAGGGCACTGAATATTTCATAACTGTAAGAAGTTCTTGAAGAAGAAATTATTTGCAGCTCCAGGTGGGGTACAGGATGGAAACACAAAAGCAGAGAGTCTGGGACAGCTGGTTCTGATTACACTGTGTATAAGAAGTTGTTTGCTTTAATTATATTCAATGGGATATTCTTTAAATGAGAAACTAAATGAGTAATAACACCTGTCATGAAAAAAAATTGTTTAATTGAAAACAGAATAAAATAATTTCAAGTGTTGCATCTCAGAAGGGTAATGATTCTGTAAACTCTTAGACCATTATTCTTATTATCCTCTAAAGCCACCACACTCTTTTGGCTTGGATCATTATTGAAGAGCGGTGTTCCATGAAGACAGCAGCTGCAGTAAATTAGAGGCTATTGATTTCTTAGTGCTTGGGCACTGCACAGAATTAAGAACCATTGAGAAGAATATCTCTGTAGCAATGATGCACCTACTGTGAACCTTCAAGCAATTGAGTTATCAACCTAATGTGAATAAATACCACCCCTCACCCCTGTCGCAAAGAGAGTGGCTTGGGAAAGTGTTTTCAAATAGTGTGGTTTACAGTAGTAACTAGAATACATGGTAGAATTTCATAGTCTACCAATTGAATGTGTTTTCAAGCCCCTTTAATTATCCAGTCCAAGCAAAGCATTTTGATTCTGGCACTGACGTAGCTCAGTAGGAAACCATGTCAGCCTGCATCTTGAGGGTGGAAGTAATATTTTCACAGCATCATTGGAACACATTTCCTTAAGTACAAGTAATCTTGAACTTCAAGAATGCTAATTATGGTGGGTCATGTAGTTCCCAATAAACCATATCTTTATTCATCATAGGTGGGGGAATGTAAACCCAGATGTTGTTAAACAAATGACATACAGCTACAGCTGCATATAAACAATAACACTTCAGAAGACATAGTATTTGTCTATGTAAATGTATAGGAATATCCCTAGTTTCTTCCTGGATTTCCAGAACAGATCACCGTAATTGTGGAAAGTTAAATCCTCCCAAGATAATTTACTTTCCTCATGTCAATAAAAATAAGAAAAGACAGAGGGAATATTGATTTTCAAGTTGTTTCTTTGTCCAGAGAGGCATCATGGTCTAACCATAATCCGATGCACTGTAAGACACCATTACACAAACAAACATTATATAGTATTTCATGATATTTTAGGTTGTATGCTGACAAAAAATTAATAAATTGTAATACAAGACAAATCTTCAGATAGCTGAAATCAGAAATCAACACCTGAAGCATTCTTCTTGGGGTATACATAAACCACAACATGGAGTATATATAAGACACAAAATAGAGTGTAAAATAGTCTAGTGGTTTGGAAGAGATGAGATTTTAGATTGAAAACAAAGAACAACCCACTTACAGGAGTAGTATCCCACATCTGCATTTACCGTCAGTCTTCCAATGTCAAAGGTCTCAATCATGTTACTGTCCCACTTCTTCCGATAACTTGTGTCATGCAGGACATCGTATAATGTTTCTGCAGTCACATCCTTACAGACTATTCTCATCTGGAAGAAACAAAGATGAAAATGCTCAGCCCCTGCCTGCAATTAAATACCAAACATTCAATGTTGTTATGTTACATTTAAAACTGAAAGTGTTAATGTCTTGGCACACCAAAAAGTATATATAAAATAGATTGGTATTGGGAATAGGAAAGCCATTTTCTAACTGCTGTATCAAATGCACGGTCACAAGGGAGCCAGAGCTTATCCTGTCTGGGTGTGAGGCAAGATACACCCTGGATGGTTCCTAGTGTCAGCACATCTCAGGGTATTAGGAAATTTAGTGCATTAATATTAATGGGTCAGTAACAAACCTGCTACAAACTATATTGCTCTGTAATTATGAGTTATACAGACAGTAAATGAAATATAGCCATGAAAAACATTTCATTCTGATACTCTGACTTTTACTAATAATTTTCCCATTAGTATACTGTACCTAATTTAACTGTAACATTTTCAAGCACAAGAATTAAATGTACTTCTTGTTTTTCCAATTTGAAGTTCGAAACAGCCTCTTTGGTAATTCCGGCTTGTTTTTATGATGCAAACCTGGTATAATGCACAACATCTTTGCTTCAGTAGTGAAGCCATTTAAATGCTTGGGCATAGCCCCGTCAAAACAAAGACAAATGTGACTAAATGTTTTCCCTGTTATGAATGATGTCCACAAAATGGAGCTTGAAAAACAAGTCACAACACGTTACAAAGCTACCGGTACTTGAACTAACTGTTCAGGTTTCTGTGTCATGTGAAACATTATCTCCTTGAATTATCCTTATTAATTAGGCCTGCAAAACCAGGATATCATCCAGGCAAGAGGTGATATTTCACACTCACCAACTCAAACGGAAAAAGGACAATTGGGCTGTGTTCAAGGTCCAGTAAACCTGGGGAGCCAGTTGGTATATTTCATTTTCAGTAATAATAAATTACCATTGGAAAGCTAAAAATGGCTTAGAACAGTGAATAACAGGCTTATATTGATCTTTTGTTAGAAACTCTCGAATAAAAGTCTACAAATTTACTGTAGTGCAAAATTAAACAACTTGATTACTGTAATATTTAAATATATCATGAAAATGTAAAAAGTAGAAGCAAACATTGAACACCATTATGATGGTACGTTTTCATACTCTCTGTTACTTTAGTTACCCATCCATTTTCTGCCCTGTTTATCCGCACACAGACGCAAGCACACAGACAGTCACACCAGGGCCAATTTTCCCAGAGGCCAATTAACCTACCAGTATGCCTTTGGACTGTGGGAGGAAACCAGAGCTCCCAGAGGAAGCCATTGAGAACATTGGGAGAACCCAAGAATTGAACTCGGGGACTCAGTCCTGCACAGCAGCAATGTTAACTCTGTACCTCCCTGCCTAAATTATACAATAAATACATATTCAAAACGAAGAAAATTGACTTTTTGTTTTCTGTGAGCAAGTCCTATTAGAATTGAATATGATGTATACTCAAACATAAAAAAATGATTGCTTTTATAGAATAAAGCATATAACAGGGTGAGCAAAACATAAAAAACACATATTCATATTTAAATTGGCATGCCCTTTTGCAGGCTTTCCATGAATGGATTTTTCTCAGTATAAATTAGAAAAAACTTCATTCTAAATGTCATATCCTAACACCAATTACTCCCTCAGCAACCTTCAGTTAAGCTTTCAAATGCCAACCATCCACTTCAGATCTCACAGCCTGGGATGCATTTTGATCTCAGTCAGAATAAGCTTCCCTTACCTCCAGCCTGATTCCATAATTAATAAGCTGCACATCTAACCACCACCATCAGAACAGTGGTCTAATTGTGGTAATAAGTGAAAAACCTGACTGCGTTTCAGTCTTTTGCGGGTCTTGGATGGCATTAGTGTTGCTTTAATTCAGCAGTTAATCCCTTTCAGTTTAACTTCCTTGCTGCTTTATTACACTGCATGAAAGTGGACATGTACATACTCATTTCTTATTAAATGTGTCATTGTAAAGTGTTTTATGGACTTTAGTCCCTTTTTTGGGGTGGAAAAAATGAATCAAATAAATTTAGACTACAAATGACTGTATGGAAGAAGACATTAACTCTCACATAAGTCTCAAATGATTCTCCAGCATTTTCTTTATGAGGAACAACCGGGTTCCATTCAATTGTATTTTGCCTTTGTAAACCCCCACCTTCCACAGCTATGCCCTTCAGCTGTATGTAGAGCTATAGAGACAAATCTGTTACAGCCGGATGTTGGGAGTAAATTTATAGACAACGAATGACAATTGTCATTCTAATTTAGTATGTTTAGTATGACAATTGTCATTGTCACGACATATATTAAACTTACTCTCTGAGGTTTTTAATTTAAAAAAATATATATTCTAAGTTTCAAGCTGTTAATCCTCCATTCATCCATTTTGTAACTGCTTTATCCAATACAGGGTAGCAGTGGAGCTGAAGCTACAGGACATCATTTCATCACAGGGTACACACAGACACAAACACACACACTGGCAACAGGGCCATGTTCCCAGATACCAGGTAACCTACCAGTATGTCGTTAGACTGTTGGAGGAAGCCAGAGCACCCGGGGGAAAGCCAAGCGAACATCGGGGGAACACCGAAACCCCACACAGACAGCACCTCTGGATTTGAACCAAGGGACCCAATGCTAACCACTGTGCCACCTTGCCACTGTAGCTATTATCATAAACAGTAATTGTGTAACTTGGCTCTTAGATTAGAAACACATTGGAAGAATGTTCTAATGTCTTTCATCAAATTTCATCTGACAAATCTCAAATCATTTTTAAAGACATTAAATTGGTATTAATACATTTTTAATTATATATTTAGAGATTTAAAGACCTAGTTACAGGGATTTTAATTTAAACACTGTAAGGACCAAGTCTTGATCTTTGGGAAACCTTTTTTCAGAAAGAAAAGATGGTGTCTTGTACCTTTTACTCTCCATTAATTAGCAGAAAAACAGTTTTTTTTCAGGCAGTGATAGCTAACCCACAGGACCTACAAAGTTCAGCACTTGGCGATACTTTGCCAAAGGCCTATTATCACAAGCTGTGGATAATGCAGTGCAGCTGTGCACAGCAGTAATCGGACCCAACTGCTGCCAGCTTCTTGCAGCTTTTCAGACCTGTAGTTTGAAAACAATGCCTTCAATGACAGTCATAATTAGGGCCTGTGCTCCTTTTTATACATTGACATAGAAGTGCTCAGGAATGTGCAGTCACAAAGCCAGCTGAAACTCCACTAGCTCAGCAAATACATACATAATTAAATTATGTTAAAGGTATCTCTCAATATATCCTGTAGTTCCCCTAAAAGAGGATAAATACTCTTAATCACGCTCCCATCACACTGTTTAGTTAATATTCTTTAGTTGACATTATCAAAATTAGTATTAGTTTGTTTTTCTCTAACTGTAGTGCAAGGGATATTCTCACTGAGAAAGAAATTTAGAATTTAAATTTGAAAAGTGAAACTGAAAACTGTCCGTGGCTGTTTAGTCTTCTTTTGTCTTTCCAGATGCTACTAATGTAATAATCTTAGAGCTTCATAAAGTAGTTTCATAATGATATGTCGAGTTACAAAAAGCATAAAATAATGTCCTTTCATTCTATGAACCATTTGCCAAAATTCAGTTACTTTTCAGGACATATTAAGAGACTGGCATAAGTCTGTTTTCAAGAAAAAAAGCTCAAGTAAGAGTATATACATTGTATCTGAGGAGGATACTGTCTTAATTAGTGTTTATTTCTATTGGACAATTATTTGCACCCCTAAGTTAAATAATTAAATATGAAAGATTAATTGTTGTTGTCAATTCATTCACAGAATATTTAACCTTACTTTGACTTACAGCAACATCAACATTTTAGTTGCTGTACAATAAAATCTTAACTTATAACATTATTGAGACCTTGTTCAGATGGGTCACCTTCAGTTATCATAGAAAAATTAATCTAGTGTTTAAAGTTTTTTTAATTAGGAATTCATCCCTCATTCTTCACTATTATTTTCATGTTGGCAGAAAATACAAGTGGATGCTCTTTTAAAGGCAAGTCATTTGACTGGGAGGTGTAGAGTGCTTTTACTGAAGCAGAGTTTGAGATGATAACAATCTTTTGAAGATTATTTGTGATTGAATAAACAATCTGATATGGAGGTAAAACAGGTATTCTGAATTAACTAGACTAATACTGTAGATGAATACTTGGCTGCAAGTAGAAATGATTCAGTCCAGTTATACTAGATGCAAATTTGACTATAATAATCACCCCCGCAAATAGATTGTCTGCAACTCAAGCAAAACCACAGAGATGTAACCAGCATATAGAAATAAAATGCCTCAGGGAGCAAATGCATTTTTCATTTCAATTTCCAAAAGGTCTGTCTTCTGTGGCGACAGCACAGGTGATGTCAAGTCCAACTTCTAAAGCTATTTCAGATGCAATTCGATCAGTTACTGTTGTAAGTAATGATGCAAACTCTCCATGTAACTTAATCTCTGACCTGCCCGCTAGCTGTGGTGTCATTATTCATGAGATCCCCCTCACTCCCCCTTTCCAGTCCACTTCTTGGAACAATTCTGACAGGCTTCTGTGAATGGGGTGTCGTCACATCCTTCTCCAAATGCAGTCAATTATTCATGTTGAGATGCAGTGGGGTGGCAAAGAAATTATGAAGGGACATCTATTATGCCTCTTTGTTCAGAAGGCTTTACATTCTTGTCTTATTTACCCCTCTTCCCCTATTACCCATGAATACCCACACCTGAAGCAACCCATGAGGTTAAGTGGAGGTCTCTTCCAAATACTTCCTTTCTTTGTAAAACACCAGAACTCTGGTTCCAGAAGCAGTATGGCTTTTAGTATTGTTTTCCACTCTGCATTTTTCAAATGTACCATGATATTGCTTAGGGCCTCCAGGAGCATCCTCTGACACCAGTGCGATCGCTATCACAGTTCTACAAGCTGAGATAAATCTATGATTTCTTTTGGATACACACACTAGCTTATAACGTAAGGTATAGACAGGGTCTATGCATAGTAGAAATACTGTCAAGAAACAAAATGTTTTGCTGTGATCTAATAATCAACCATTTCCAAGTTAGTTACCCTGCACTGCGTCAGAGAAAAGGGCAATGTTAGCAGCTTTTTAATTATTGTCCCATTGCAGCAGTACAAAGAATGCAACAGCCAGCACAAATACAACAAAAGACGAGATGAAGCAGGAAGCAAAGATGATAAAAAAGGCTGCAGTGATGTATTCCGCAGTAAATCTCTCCCAATCCGGATTTTTATCACAATTAATGATTAAATTGTACCAGAGTGCTCAAGTCAAAGATACAAAAAGAACAAATAGTAGCAAAACAATCAATGCTCTATTTAAAGGGTTTAACACAAAAAGGTGCATAAGTATACGGTATACGGTATACTTATAGTTTATGTTGCAAGAGCATACAGTATGCATACTGTATACTCTTTCAATAATAGTTCTGATATTCTGTACAGGCCCCACTGACATTGACAACCAAGTATGAAATGCATAAATATAGAAATGAAGACAAATGTAGTGAACCTGAAGAACGGTCTACACACATGTGCTATGACAAATTACTATGTGCAACTGACTTGCTCCCAAATAGCTACATTCTCCATCTCCTATACTTCAAAAACAATTTTTAAAACCTGTAGAAAAAGGATATCCCATTTCACTTATACAAAACCCTTCTCTTTGCATAGGCACTGTTGTGCAGAAACATTTTTTTGTCTACATCAAGTATTTTCAAGAATACTTGTTATTTTTAATTCACATAAGTCTAAGAATGAGCAGCTTCCAGTGATCACACTGTATCATAGTGTATATATTGTAGTATGTTTTTTTTTTCCCTCAAATCGATTTTAAGTTATTTTTTCTCTTCCTTATTCAGCATAGGCCTAATCATTAGAAGTAAGTGATGACTTTAATGTATTCTGCACATTATGACTCCACTGCAACTATAGGTACTGCTGACACTCATAAAACTGTAATGGACTGCAGAAAATAAATGACTTCCAATTATTATAACCTCATAAATTCTACCTTCCAGAGCAACTTTATGATGAACTCCTTCCAATGTGAAATGAGCTACTCAAGGTATGTGCTTGATTAAAAGCGCTTATTGTACACCAAGAAAGAAATTTGCAGCATCCTGAACATGACTGAATTCTTTTCATTGTTAATATAGTGATTTATTTACTGTCCTTGGTTTTCTAGTCTTCCATTACCATTTAATTTATGGTCCAAAGAGTTTTGTTTACTATCCCTACAATTCAGTGCCACTTATTTTCATTTATTTAACATTTGTTGAATTCCAATCATGCAGAAGTTACTCAATACAGGGGTACTACCAACTTACCAAAAGATTGCTCATGTAGTGTCTATACATAGAAAAATTATATAACAAGTATTGCTTCTACTATATCCAAGGTTATGGAAACAAGAATTAGAATTAAGCTAGATAATAATCTGTATGACAATAAAATTCTAACAGATAATCAAGATAGATTTAGAAATGGTACTTTTGTTGAACTAACTTAGGGATTCTTAACATATAGAGTGGTAGGATTATGAAACATGACTACCTGGCCATGTTTTTGAAACCAGTATCTGGGATACTTTCAAAAATGGCTGGATGTGATTCAAGGATTTACCAAACAGTCTCTCCATTGTCTCTGAAGATAGGAAGTATGGTTTACAAGGCCTGGAACATACTTTGTATTAGTGGTACCATGCCCTCAGTACTCTGCCTGCTTTACTCCACTAGTTTTGCAGCTCAAATATATTTGGACTGATCCCAAAAAAATATACTTCCATTTAAAAACAATACATTATGTATATCCATAAAATTATGTGTGTTAATATAGTTGAGTTATATTGTAATGGCACTATTGTTTCCTCACTCCTTACATCTACCTTTCTTGTTAGTTTCATGTCTGTGGAAGTCTGTGAGTTATAATCTATCTTTTTCAAAAAGCATGGCACAATATTTAGCCTCCTGACAACTTCCGTTGTCAGGAAAGTACAAATTGCTCCTGCCAATTTGCTACCCCTGTTTATACTGTAGCTCTTTTACTAGAATCCATTTCATACAGTGACAAAAAATGTTTTAACATTAAGACTGCTGAAAAATGCAGTGTTTTCCTCTTGTACATGTGAGAGTGATGCAATGAAGGGGAGTTTAAAGATAAATTAATTGTGCTGGCTTTCATTGCAGTAATACCAGAAGTTAATCTCTTTGGGCATATGGGCCCAAAGAGATATGGGCATAAGAGACTCCAGAGATAAGAAGGTATTGTGCTTATCCCTGGGGAGACTCTGTCTTAGATCATGGTGGTTCCTGGCAGGTTTAGTGTAAATGCTGATGTTATATAGTCAAACCTTAGAAGTGGCAATTCAGCAACAAAATAAATTATTAGGATCCATAATATTTTATAAGTACCTTATAAATACGTTCTCCTAAATTCTGTAGCCTTCAACATTTTTCATTCCCTTTGCCTCCAAATACTTTTTTTTTGCTGTTGAGTTTAATTCTTAGGACTCCTTACATGTGGAAAAAAAAAGAAGTCAAAGTGTCTACCAAATAACAGCATTAAAATATGTAAAACTGCATTTATTTACTAAACTGGCCTTCTGGCTTGAAAATTATTTAATTCTTACAGTTCACCAGTACACCTGCAAATCAAAGACCACTATGTGATGTTATTACATCATGTAGGGATACCAAACAAAGGTGTTAGTTTTCAAGTCCCATAGGTTATAGGGCTTCATATTAATTAATACTGCAGAGACTCAATTAGCCACTGACAAGATGCTGCAGAAAATTCCATTCAGTGTTGTTTAGCCTGTAATAACACTGGGAACATTGACCGAGTGTGGTTTTTTTGGGGGGGAGGGAAAGGAGCAGAAAATGCTTGACATTAAAACACCTTAATTTCTACAACACGCTTGATATTCAAGGCTGGCATTTGTGGCTCATGCTACATAAAGATAATGCTTAGAGGCACCATTCAATTTACTTCAAAGGAACGCATCTATTTCTAAAACAAGACGGACAATAAACCATATTATTTTCTTTTTCTAAATACTAATTTTGGAACAGAGACATCACTTGTCTCTTAAAATTCAAAATAGTGATACTCTGGAAGAAAGGAAATAGGCCTTAATAGTGGGGGGAAAAAAATAAAACTGAAGTGAAAAACTTTTTTTCCCAGAAGTAAAACAATTGGAGCTCTGTGAGCAGTGTTACACCCAACTGGTATGGCTATAAACAGATGACAGGACTGAGTAAACATGATAAATTTCAAACCAACTAATTCAAGCTAATAGCCTGTAATGGTCTCATAACATTTTAGTTTTAGGCAACAGGATTCATCCTATCTATAAAAAATAACATTGCACAGACAAAGTGCTTTAGCCGGGATTTTGTAAAAAAAAAATCATTTTAGGTCTGCAATGCAGACAATGAGGAACGTCAAATAGGTACCAAAGCACTGGAGAGCACTTTTAATGGACCTTCTCTGAAGCTCAAGAGAACGGTGAAACTATGCTACCTGTGATGACCTCAAACATCACATTTTCCAGCAGTATTCTGTATTCGGTTGCTGGCACAGCGCCATGCCCCATCTCTGGAGAATTAGATGATCTGGGGGATTAGTCAAACTGACAGCTGTGTCAACATCCTAACTGCTTCTGGACATGTGATACCAGAGAGAAAGCGATCTCCTGTGTTACATGGGTGGCGTCTGCCTCTGTAAATTTAATACAATTCAAAACAAAGGCAGGAATTCTGCCATTCATAGCACCTGGTTGCGCCCGCATATTAAACGTAACATTTTCTGATAACCTTGCATGTTGCACCTGTGCACTGTGAGAATATTTTTCTGTTTAGTTAGCCCGAAATTAAATTCACCATCGCACAGACCGTTAAAATGAAACCACTGAATATATGAACAAAAGTCTGCCAAAAACTGAGGATCAACCCACACTCACAACCACAAACTGTATTCATAATTTTCCCATTCTTTTAACAAAGAACCAACCTGTATCTAATTTAAAAAATAAATAATTTAAAGGCACTACGATCAGAAACGCAGACAACCGGTTATAACGTCTCTTTTGGTTTCTCCGCACACTGCAGTGCGTATTGTAAGAGGGAATCCCATTACACACAGAGAAAGCCTGCTTGCCTTTAATTTCTGGACGCTGTTAGTCTCTTCGCCGTCTCTGCACCACACGGTCACTCCTCCCTTGTTGTACCGGGCAGTCCAGCCGTCCAGATTCTCGCACTGCTCCTTGAAAGAAGTGAAGTCGGAATCATCCGGGATCTGGACTGTCATCTTGTCCCGGAGCAGAACAGCTCAGGGAAATTAACCCTGAATAATAATAATCGAATACAGAAGAGAACAACGAGGTTGCCTCCTCCACTTTCCTTATCAGACCTTCCCCAATCTCCCTCCGGTCTTAAACAAGGCGATGTTGCGCTGCGGGATAGAGCAGCAGTGCCGAGCGCTTCGGTATCTTCTTCGGTCTACTCAATAGCTTCTTTATAGAAAAAAAAGGCGTAAAAACAGATCAGACAGCAATACTTTATAGTGTAGACTTAGCTCTCTATAACTTTAATTTCTTTCGCCTTTGTCTTGATTAGCCTTTATTCCAGCAAGTGCAGCTGTTCTGCACCGATGCCTTCAGCTCCAGCATCAGCGCTCCTGGTGCTCTTTCTGTCACTCATGGGGAAGGAGGCAGATATATAGATAACGGGGTCAACGATATCTAGCGCCTCGAGGTAGGCTACACTACCTCTTACTCAGTCTGCCTGCCTGATCAGGGCAGATCGGGTGTCCTGTTTGCTCCGATGCGCTGGGTTTCCTTTCCTCGGCGATTGTTCTTATGTTATTGCCCTTGTTGTGGGATGGGTGGAATATCAAACTCGCTTCTCGGGTTCCTCAGGTTGTCTTTACCGAGTCCCTTTGTTTCAAGTGCCCAGATGCCTCCCCTCGGCCCTTTGTTCCCCTCTTTAAACCCACAGCTCTGCTGATTCGTGGCATGCAGAGGACGTGAAGATGACCACTTTGCTTCGTCCGGGTCGCGCATTATATACTGAATAACTGTAATATAGCTGTTCCACGTCCTGTTGTGAAAAGCCGTCAGGCGCGCTCTTGCTGCAGCGCTTTCAATGTAGAAAAAAACATCTGTTAAGATCTCTAATCCCTCCAGATGAGGCTCTTATATTAAACAAAAATAAAGTGTTTTTAAGCAATCCGGTTACACAGTATTATTTCTTATAAGAGCGTTGGATTTCTGAGGACCCTGATGCATATTTGGTAAAGTTAAGTAATACAGGAGACAATGTTCTCGGAGATATTGACTCCCTGTCAATTAACTCATATTAGCTTTCATGTTATTGTAACACTCTGGGGTTCACATGGGTATGCGCCCTCGCCTCTGCCGCCTCAGGTCGGCCCCCCACCATCGGGGACTCGAACCCGGGCCTCCGGCGTCACTCAACAGGGACCCAGCCTCTTGAATCAAAGGGAAATCTCCTGTCAGCCCGATGGATGCAGTCCCTGCTATTCACAGGGAAGGGCGGTGACGTCACCGCTCTGGTAAGCCAGCTCTCGCAAGCAATGGTGGCCGTATGCGTTACACTCTCCCCCGCTTAATTCGCCGTCCTCGGCGAAGGGCTATCCTATCCCACTGCTGACACCAATGTAACGCTCCGGGGTTCACGTGGGTATGCGCCCTCACCGCTGCTGCCTCAGGTCGGCCCCGCACCGCAGGGGACTTGAACCCAGGCCTTTGGTGTCACTCAACAGGGACCCAGCCACGAGCCAAAGGGAAATCTCCCCTCAGCCCAGCGGCTGCAGTCCCTGCTATTCACAGGGAAGGGCGGTGACATCACCGGTCTGGTAAGCTGGCTCGAACAACCTGCAATGGTGGCCGTATGCGTTACATTATTATTGCATCCCCAACCTGTGAGGTTGAGAGAAATTATCAGTGAATGACGTTTATGTGTGCTTTGCATTTTACTCAGGCATTTGTGATGCATATTTAGTGTGTAGAGTTTCACTTTCCGTGCAAGGTTGAAAAGAGGTTTCGAAATGTAGAGCTAAATTACTTATGAAACGGAAATGTATGGATACAAGCCTCAGCCGTCAGTCACAATGGAGTAAATCCATGCCACACCACATCTGGTGTCCTCAAAATGTCGTACAGAGAGGCAGTTTTTCACACAACTGACTCTCGGAGCCACCTGCCTCCAGACTGACGATGTGGTGGATGTTGGACCATCTGGCAGCGTGATCGAGAACCACCGGAACTCTCCACCCCACAAGCAAAATAAGATGGATTCTATTTTTACTTAAATTTGGGTTTCGCAAAAAAACAACTACTTCGGCTAAACGACTTACAGAAACACAAATACAAGCTGTGGAGTCCCGTCATGTTCCCGTCTTTTTCATACCAAGAGGTGACCATTCAAACTCAATTAATAATTGCTGAACCCAAACGAAGTACCTACATTTTCAAGACTGGTCTCCAGAGCGGCCTCTAATGGCAGCCCCATTGTCAGGGCGCCCCCTGACCAAGCGTTCTGAAGAAACAGGGACTTGCAGTGACAGCCATGAAAACACTGGCAATACGAGCCAGGAGCAATTAAGTGAACAGCTGATTCAAACAATGTCATTAAGAGAGCAGGACCAGGAGCCTATATCAATGATCTTCTCAACTACACTCATTCCAGCTCAGCCATTGTTACGAAGCCAAAGATGACATCACCAGACCAGCCTCTTTTCCCATTAAGCCGACACTATTGAGCTTCAGTAACATGTCTGTGTGAAGCAATGCAATTTGATACAGACATAAATTAAACTTTGGGGAACACTTCACCCTAGACAATGACAGTACACATTTGAGAACACTATATTGGTTAAAGGTGACCCAGTTCTGTGCTGGGTTTGTCCCCTCTGTCCCCATGGCTCCATTTCCAAGTGAAAGAAGCTTCATTGCTCCATGCTGCACAACTTTAATTACGGAGTTGTTCAAATAAGTCAATTAACTTTGAAAGCATCCTATACATTGAAATTTAAAATCTCCAATCTTGGCCATTTTTAAACATCACTTTTCTATAATTGATTGCCTATAATTGTATATTATGGAAGGATGAATCTTAAAAAATGTGAAACACTCCCTTCCCATATTTTCATCTAGGCAGTTCCTAAGGAAATAAGAAAGCGCTGACATCACGTGTTGGTTAACTTTTGTTCATTTCTGTAGCTCATCTTTTGAATATAGCTACGCCACACTATGTTCAATGTTGTTTTCTATAGCTAGCACAGCTAAAAATAAACTATCCTGAAATTAATTATACTGAAGCTACCATTAGCTGTTTAAAGGAGCCACAGAGGGGAAAACAAGCATCAGAAATATAATTCTGCTTTTCAGCTTTTTGGCTGTTGGAAGTCAATATTTTTTATGCATTTCACAGACTGTGGGCTTGTTTGTTTGAAGTACAGCAGTGCAAATCTTGTAGATGTTTCTGTCAAACTGGCTATTTCCATTTACATTAACCGCTTTTGTTAACCTGCAGTTGTTAATAATTTCTTTATAAATATAAAGTTATTCATACTTTTTGAAAAGTAATCTTTAATGTGTAAAATCTTCATCTTGTTTTCTTCCCTGAGGCAAAAAGCCATCTGCTGCATTTGGGGCCTAGACAACTGCTCCCCATATCCCACGCTCCAGTCATTTTCTTTTGTTACGTCAAATTCAGTAAAATTCAGTCTGTCGTTTTTCAGGATTCTTCCTTTAGCTCTTTCATGGCCTGTTCACACCAGAACGGCAAGCTAGCTGAAACAGGAATCTATTAAACCTGAATTATTGTGGCCTGATAGGTACATATTTAATGAGGAATGTGCTGTTCCCAAAGGATACAATTTGTTTCTGAACAGTGCTACAATTGTTCTGCTAGAACAGGGTTGAGCAAGGGCGCCTGTCTTACAACTTTTATAGGTCTCTGTAAATCTCCTGCTTCTCAGGAACAAGGAAAGGCTTCATCTTGTACAATTAAGCAATTAATGACTTAGGGGCTTAGGTGAAAGAAAAACCGTTCTGGCTTGCAGTCGTGTACTCTGGTGCTTGAAAGTCTTATGTCAGAATCTTCCAGCAGAGGGCACTCTTAAGCTAAAAGTGATGTGATCAGGAGGAGAATTGAAACCGAATGAATTGAATTCAATTGTTATTGCCTTTACTTTCCCTGTCATGAAGACTACAGTAATCTAACTCAGGTTCTGGACTACTGTTTTATTTTTTTATATCCCAAATCATCTAATTATTGGCTGAATTGGACCAATGTATCAACTTTATCCAGCTCTTCAGTTGCTGCTGCTTTAAAGAGACCACGAAAACCCCCCAAACCTTTCCTCCAAGACTAAAGTTGCATCACCCTGATGAAGGCTTTTAATGTGGTCAGATTCCTAGATGGCAATATCGTTTGCAGTCTTTTTATTAAAAAAACCACATATTTAAGCAAATAAAAATCCTTAATGCAGTCTTTCTCACACAAAAAAGAAAGCAAAAAAAAACAACAATTGAGTCATTGAACGAGTATGTCAAGGGGCAATTCTTTCCGTTTTTATTAGATTCCCTAGTGACCTCTTTAGGTTAGAATGTAGCATCTGGACTACTGGCATTAGCTAATACTGTACCAAGGAAGTGCTAAATCAAGATTGTGCTATAGTATTTACTTTTGAGAACACTTGTTTTAGTCTATGATAACTATTATTATTCCATAAATATTAACAGACTTAACTGGACATTTCTCTCTAAGAATAGGAAGTCGTGTATTATTTTATTCTACACTGTTTAGATGCCAATTGGAACATAAAACAGTTAGAACACGTATGGATCTATAAGGAAAAGTAGAAGAGATTCTTTAATAAGTCTGTAAATACAGCATGTTGGTTAAGGCCAGTGCACAGGTAAAACAATAACCAGTTACTCCGACATAGTGGTTGCACTGTTATCTTTTGCAGTAAAGTTCTGAAAAAAAAGTAATCCATGTTATAGCATACTGAGGCTTTAAAGATATGTGCTCCCAATAATTTCCTAGTGGATTCTGCTCACCTCCAAGACATCTGCACTAGCAAACGCATCCAAAAATAAAAAAGATGTACATACTGTAGCACTGTGGCCTTACTCTCTCTGTTTTAGGTCAGATTTCCTCAATAAGAAAACATGTGTGGTATAATTTTTTTCAGTTGTTTAATGTATGAATATACTGTATTTATATGTATTCTGCCTTTTCTTGCAACAGTTAGATCTCAAAGTATATTTGCTATCGTATCTTATTGTGTCTTGCTTCTTTAAACAGTCTAAGTAGAAGCAGAGTTGTGCAAAAATTTGGTAAAGATTCTAGTAATTGCAGTTAATTTACTACACAATTGTTTACCACACAAGTGAAGATGATAATACAATGATGTGGTTGTTTTGTGAGTTTTGCTGGTCTCAATATGTGTCTTACTGATCCAAGTGTTGCTGAAAGTACAGTTCAACCATTTCTTGAATGGTTGATCTTAGTTTTTAATAACATTGCTGAGACACTATTTCCACAAAACAATCCAGTTACAATACTATTTAACAATGAAACCTAACCCAAGGAATGGTTCATGGCTTTTTAACTGAGAAAACCAATGTCACAAAGTTTACTCCCCACATATTGAAAGTCATATCCTTTAAAAAACTGAGCTTGAGAATGCTTTAAACAAATCATGAGTACAAGGGTGTAAAATGTTCTTCACTTTACTTGGACAATGACTAAATCATGTACAGTATGCAGGTTTGGGGATGACCTAATATGTATACAGCCTGTTGTGGATCAAATAAGACTCCATGTCAAATAAAAATGCACTTTACTTACCAATAACATAAACACATATCAACATGCCTTTGCCACTGGTCTTCTTTGAGAAAGCAAGGATGGAAAACATATTTTTCACACAGGCAGAATGAGACATGGTGGGATAAACACAGACAATCGGTACGGTGACCAGTAACTGGAAAGAATGCAAGTGGAAAACCACAGACAGACCTTAAGGCTGAGTCAGGAGGGCTGACTTCACTTTGGTGTACAGGGTTAACTCCACTTCCCACTACAGACCC